TTAGATGTTTACTCATCCTTGGCATGGCTAGAACTCCTGTACATTATCTTCAGTGTTTCAGCATTTGACAGCTTTCAAAGGCATACTCGCTACTCGACAGTGTGCTCATTCCCAGAAGAAATGTCCATTTCTAACAAGAAATGTACCTGGAGACTCTAGACTTAATAAAGGTGGATTGTCACATTAAACAAAAGTAGTTCAAAGCCAGTAACAAGCCTGTGCCTGGCTGCTCTCCAATCAACAGGTTATGCTGCTCAGATTAAGGTTGTTATGAACACAACAAAAAACTGTTTTTATTGAATATACCTGTGAAATGTTCAATGTGAACATCTGTCATTTGTTCCCCCTACATTATTCACCTCTAGAAAACCTCAAACTGTTTTTGTAGCTCAGACCCTGGTCTCTTATGTCAAAGCCCTGTGCACCATCAGCCTGACTGTCCAAGCTGACTTCCTCCCTGCAACTTCTGTTCGATATGATACTACTGTCTTTGGTAAAAAGGAAATAAATTACAGTGTGGGTATAGCCCACGGTGACAGGGAGTCCATTAACATCATTCAGAAAAACAAAGGTAAATCATTGCCTTTCACTGTACACTGCTGATGTAGCGTTCCTCCTCTTTTTGCACATTTTTTCTTTACTGTAACAAATATGAAGGGAGTGTCAGAGAGCCGGGGTGGTAGTCTCAGCTTTAGTGCATCTCTAGAGAAGACAAAGACTGATCAATTTTAATTACCCCATAGCCTCGCAGAGAGCATGAGAGTAGTTGGAATTTAAACAGCATAAATGGCCACACTAACCTCAGGGAGCCCCGAGAGCCACACATACAGAATATAGCACAACCCCAATGGATGCACCCAGAAGTAAAGAGGGGTTATGAAAACCTGTGAGTTATGTAATCATCATGTTGACAGGGGAGCTGTTTCTCTACATCCTGTGGTGTAATGTCATGAAAGGGTCACTGATTATTCCTAGACGATCAGGGCAGTGTGGGGATGGCATTGCCTTTCCATGGAGATAAAAGAGACACTAGGAGCACAAGTTTAAATTTCAAATAACACAAACACATACCTCTGCAACAGAGAGCAGTCCAACTCTTTGTCAAGCTTTCAACATAAGTGGGTTTAACCTACGGCTGTCAGAGTGAGACTGTGAGGGAGAGATAGGAACCAGAAGGAGGAGGAAGACAGAGGGGATGCTGTAAAGTGCCAACTGGATGTTCATATTGGAATAGTGGGCTTGTTAGTTTTACAGATGAAGAGGGTGCCTGTTTGTTTTGTAGCTGCATAAACAGCTTGCTGCGCATTCTTTTGAGTTTCCTCTTACCTTAGTGTCAGCAGCACCATCTGGTAAAACTAATCAACTCTTAAGTAAAAGGCTACTCGAGTTGCTCATAAATGGGCATTTACAAAAAATATTTTGTGTGAAAAGTTATTGTTACAATCCAGCACAGAGAGAATGAATAAACTACTCAGTAAAAGCAGAGTAGTTTATGAAAGAAATCTTATCAACCAGCATAGAAATAACACTCCTTATGCTCACAAATGTGCTGTAACATCTTTATTAACAAGTGAAATGTTACATTTCAGATAAGGAGAATTCACCATAAGGCAACTGAGAGAGAAAAGAAGCCCATTGCTTCTAAAACACTCTGCTAAAGAAGTTGTACTGTGCATCCTCATGAGGCAAAACTTTATCAGCCATTGCAAGAAACACTACTTTCATTACAAGGGAGTCAAGAAGCAGCTTTAAAAAACAAAAGTGAATAAATTAGTCATTTCACTTTCCCTCTCCACCTCAGATATTTAAATGCCAGTTTCAGTCAGTCCTCTTTAAAGCTGCTCTACCTGATTTCTTTTCAGTTGTTAGAAGGTCTGGTGAGACTAAAAAACAACCTGACACCAGCTGCTTTTACACACTCTTTGCACCGGCCCGAAGCTAGCATTAGCTGACAAGATTGTCAGTATAGTAGGACACTGTGGTTACTGCTAATGAGACACAAAGCACTAATGTTACACCAAGCTGGAGGTACTCCAAAATTCAATACAATTCAGGAAATGCTAGGTCACAAATGTTACGTAAACAAACACATTAGCTTTAGAGACTAATGCATCCAGAAGGAAGAACGCTACATCTGAAACAAAGTTGAGTTCTTTGGCTGCTTTTAACGCTCTCCATCTCCAAAATCCAAACTGATGTTAACCCTGGTTTTTGCTCTTTCTTTGTCCCACTCTCGGTCCAAAGGAACATGGCTGCCTCTTTCTAGCTGGCGGTGTTTCCAATTTTTAGTAGAGGATAGACCCTACGTAGCTGTTTGCAGCTCAAAAAATGCTTCACTGGGTGGCAGGTGGGATTATTTACTGACAAATCTTTTTAAAAGTTTAGAAAAGCTGGAATGACAACAGAGGTGCTGTAGGAAGCAGACTAGGGGCAGTGTAGCAGAGACACACCATGTCCTGTCCCATTTTCACTGGATTTATCAAACTGTGCAAAATCTTAGTTAGTGCACTTTTAAGGGCCCTTTTATGGGAGAAGAATTAGCTTAAATACTATTTTTAGAATACATATTTTTGGATTTGTGGTCTGTCAGACACAGAGACTCGTTCTCCAGTGCAAGGCAGCTGATTTTAATATGCTTTACACACAACCAAATGCACTGGTGGAAAGTAACTAAGTACATTTACTTAAGTATGGTACTAAAGTACAATTTTGGGGTATCTGTACTTTACTGGAGTATTTTCATTTTCTGTTACGTCATAATTCGACTTCGCTGCATTCACTGCAAACTAGTTCCCCCTTTGCCAGCTGCAATATTAAATGTGATGTACGCAATAATGCCTCAGTAATTATAATACACTAATATGATATACAGGAATGTGAAATGTGCCATTCTGCCTAATGAGTACTTGTACCAGGGTGTTTTACATTGTTGTGTTGCTGCTTTTACTTAAGTAAAGGATCTGAGTACTTATTCCACCAATGACCAAATGTACTGTAGTATTTGTTTAAAAAAAATAATCTCGTAAGCAAAGAGAACACAACCTGCGGAGAGCTGTTAGTGATTTAAGGGTGAAGACTGGTTACGGATATCATTTAAGTCTAATCTAACTTCAGATGTTATGATGAATTCACTGCTGCTTTAAAATCTGTGTGTTCTTAAATCAGTTTGATTGGATTATGTTGCTATTGATATGAAATGGTAGATGAACATGCTTTTGACCACAAAACAGAAGTGTATGGTAATAATTCTGATAGCAGCTGGACTCAAGACAAGTCTCCATGTGATTCAGGCCAGGTGTCCGGGAGTCCTGCCATCCCATGGGTACAGCCCTTTAGTCTGACACCACAGAGGACACCAAATAAATTATCTTATAATGTTTTTTTTCAACAAGCAGCCAAAAGTGCAAAAAAGGAGAGATTTTTTTTTTTCCGTGATGACCAATTGCATGCATCATCAAAAAATGCTCATATATATGACTTACTGTTCATGATGTGTATTTCTAAAGTGAATATAGATTGGAATGATTATCTTGATTATGTGCAGATGAAAGAGGCCACACAGAATATGGATAAATAAGCAGTACAAACTCTTAAATCCATCATCTCTCCACATAAACAAATGTCCTAGCAACTCCAGCACTGAGTAATCAGTGGCTGTATCCAAAAAATGTGTCCACCAGTGACATATCACAGTGACTGGACATATTGTTCAGTTTATTAGAAGCTCTGCCAATATGAACTCACACACAAGCACACACACGACTGCACAGACACTAGGAATGATTCTGGCCTTGGACTCTATAAACATGCCAGTTGACATTCAACAGCATTACACACTATTAGGAAGAATTAACAGCATCAACAGGCCAGTAAACCTGCCTAACAGAGTGAAAGAAAGGGGGAGAGACTTATGTTGGCATTTGTGTTGAGAGGATAGTGAGCTGATGAGATGTTTTAAGAAATTTGTGGCTATCCATAATCCATAACTTGATTCCAGCACCAGGCCTGTGCAGTGTCCACCCCATTGATAAAACAGGATGGGACCTGTCCTTGTGAATTATCTTCTGTTTTCAGTAGGCCTCACATAAGCATTCATGACCCAGTGGACTTGATTTAAGACAGATTAGGTGATAGAGTTGAGGCCTACGAACAGTTTCCTTTGTTCAGGGGAAATCTTAAGTGACAGTAGCAAATCATTGCAGCCCATCCTATACCAAAGCACTGTTAATGTCAGGTCTTGGGTTGTTTGAAGGAGCACATCACAGAATAAAACCTGTTGTTTCAGGTTGCTGATTCTTAAATATTCCAGTAATAGGCATTGGAACTGTGTGAATAATTGTCCATATTCCGTCTGTTATTTTGAAATGAATATTATGATTTTACATAGCATTCTAAACGTCTTTAAAAAATAACCAAAATCATTTTACGTTCACTAGACGGTCATTTTAAAATTATATCACCGGTTTCCGGTACTAATCAGAAAGCTGAGGTTGTTTACTATGCAGAAAATCTGCACTATAATTATCTTACAGTTTTATATCTGAATGTGGTTCCTGAAACAAATTAAGATGGATGGGAAACTGAGATGAATTGGCCTGTGTTGCACGTGATTTCCTTTACTTTGGACAGAGGCTGGATGTCTGGATCAGGTTGCTGGAAATTTTAGTTTAGATGATTTTTCTCTTCTTGTCCAATGCGTTTCCAAGTGCGCACGACCAATCTGCAGCAGCGCTCCGCAGACCCCCTACCAGGCATCTGGTTACTCTGAATTTATTCCTGGAGGCGCTGCTTTTAGGAAAATCGCCCCCAACAGGTGTATAAGTCGGCTCGACAAAAAAAAAAAACATAGGTGGAATGCATCCTGGCGGAAATCTGGACGCGTTGCGGAATCGAGTATAAACCACCGATGAAACTTCGTTGTCGCTTATTTTCGTCTCCAGGATTTGTTGCATGGTGAGGTGAATGCGGTGTGCGTCGGGCTGCATTTCCCCCCAGATAAGACCGGATGGTAGTCGTGATCACAACTGAACGAATCTGGATACAGTAGGAGTACTGCCAAGTCTCCAAAACGAGAAGGCATAATGCAGACTAAACTAAAAACCGAGAGAAGGACGGACTGGCATCACAAGGCGCCAGCACATTAACAAGCAGGATCTTCATGCAATTCCACTCACCGGTTTTCATATTTGGAAGATGCTAAATTCAAGAAGTTAATGGAAATGATATTGTAAAGCTTTGCGCATGTGTTTTATTATTCTAAATGTGGTCACGGGATATTTTACGGCGGAAGAAAACTGATCTCCCTGAGCGAAGTTCCAATGTCCAACGGCCCAAAGGTTGGTTATTTGCTTCAGTGTACTTGAAAATGTACATTTTTGACAAAGTATTTTTCTTGAGGGTCCCTCAGCTTGTAGCTGAAGTAGACGCCAGGCAGGTCCATAAAAGTGCACCCGTCTTATTTTCACAGCCATTTTATTGGTATCCATGCTGTTCCCTAGAACATCCCTGGCACGCAAAAACAGACATAAAAAATGTCCAAATCTCACGTGTGAGTATGTACAGGCCCCATTCACTACCAGTGGCACCATCTGCCAGTTTACATTAGACTTGTTGTCTGTTAATTAGTCAGTGCTGATACATTTATGATAGTTTTACTCTCACTGTAAGCAAAGAACAGGCTGCTCTAAACGTGCAGCTTGGTCTACTGGAAAGCTCTTCTCTGCTGTGTGTGCTGCCTGATCATTACAACTTTCAGAGTAAAAGACTGTGCTAAGTATATTCCTCTATACTGTGTGATGCTGCACTTGTGTAACAAAATAGCATATATTGATTCCAGAAAACACTACAAGTACTACAAGGAAGGCGATATCACCCATACAGTATGTGCCTTCACCTGATACCTAATGCATTTGTCAAATAAGCACAGAAATGTGTTTTGTCTGAACCTTTTTAGCCCTTTTTATTAGTGGCAATGATAATACTCAGGGAAAAAGTATTATTTTGGTTTCAGATTAAAAATCAACTCCCGTATTGGCACCGAGACATATTTTACTGTCTTCTTTACTGTATAGTGTATGCACTTTCTCTGCATATTGTATAATTTGTACTCTCTCTTTTCTACATTCTTGTTCAATGGTGACAACTGCAGGGTCCCCCTGAGAGTTCATTTTGATTCAAAATAAAAGTGTTCTTCAGAGAGCCACAGCAATATGAAACTAATGCCTAGGCTCTCAAATGAGGTGTGAAAACCTGCTACCATAAGGTCTCTCCTGTAGTAAAAAATTCTCAGTGGAGCAAGATCTTGCTTTTTTTATAATGATTTTTGGACAATTTTTCTTTCATGGAGGGGAATTTGAGGCAGTTCTACAGCAGTAAAGTGACACTTTGACTAAAAGGAGATGATGGGTGACATAATTTGGAAAAAAAAAAGCTTCAATGACTAACAGTGATTTGATATTTCCTTAATATCTGTCATTTTACCCTGGTGCACCTGCAGAGTGTGGGATCACTACTGTTCAGAAAATAAGTGCTCACACTTAAACACCACTGTCATATGTTTGTGATCGCTAGCAACCACTTAGCTTAACTTAGCTTGGAGGCAGGGGGAAACAGCGAACCTCGTGCCCACTTAAAAAAAAAAATCTGTATATTTAGCTCACAAATTAACAAGTCGTGTCATTTCCTAAATTCTTTCAAAAAATGTTATTACTGTATTATGTACTGTTATTATTAATAGTAGTAGTAGTAGTAGTAGTAGTAGTAGTAGTAGTAGTAGTAGTAGTAGTAGTAGTAGTAGTAGTAGTAGTAGTAGTAGTAGTAGTAGTAGTAGTAGTAGTAGTAGTAGTAGTAGTAGTAGTAGTAGTAGTAGTAGTAGTAGTAGTAGTAGTAGTAGTAGTAGTAGTAGTAGTAGTAGTAGTAGTAGTAGTAGTAGTAGTAGTAGTAGTAGTAGTAGTAGTAACAGAAAAGACTCCAGGAAGTGACTGTTCCAGCCAAGAAATGGACAGAGTGAAGCAGATAACGGCTGTAAAACCACAGTATAGCATTTGAACAAAATAACTTTATTATTTAATTTATTTATTTATCTTGTAAACTTCCAGATTAGCTGTTTAAGGCTGTGGATTCCTGTGTTCCTTATTATTTACTGTATAAGAAAGAGAATAGTATAGTTCTATTTATCGAACTTTCAGAATTAAAGCAAACAATTTTTCAAAGATTTTTCAAAAATCTTTGGGCGCAGTTTTACATATATTTATTTTAAAAAAGTTGTTTTTTCTTCTTGTTCTTAACTAATCATGCGGCTGTGAGTTTGTTAATCCACTCATTATTTACTGGACAGAGACACAGAGCAGTATTAAGTTGTCCTGAGACAGTGGTGCAGTAATAGGGAGCGTTAAGCTACGCAAACTCCCTTATTTTTTGTAATTAGCGATGTCTAAACATTTCCACTTTATCTTGTTTAGTGCTTTTAACAACCTGTTTTATTCATTACCCTTTCCATCTCCCCCACCCCCTGTTTTCTTGTTAGCTGAGTCCTCTATGGTTTCAGATCCTCTAAAGTGCATTAGGAAGGGGTGTAAAAGCAGCCAGTCAGCTTACTGTTGACCTCATTTTTAAGATGATGTCACAGTTACAGTTTACTAATGCTGTTTCAAACTCTACTCCCTCCTGTTCTATTCATCTTAAGTATTATATTTAATTTTAGATTTCACCACTGCCAGACTCCAAAGAACCTAGAGGCCTTTTACTAGGAGACAGTCTCAGTACAGTGTCACTGCACAGGTTTTGTTTTCATTTTGCCGTCCCCAGGGAACCACTAACTGTCAATCACTTGCATAACAGGCATTACTAATGCAGTTAACTATAACTATTAGTAGCTCAAGAACAAAAAATCCTACCATCCATTTCAGCTACAACACTACAGGCCCGATGCCTTTTTTCATGACATCTGTTTGGTGAAACACATTGAGCTGAAGAGCTGAGAGAGCTGAGCATTTTTTACTTTTCAATTCTTGGCATGTTTGTGAAGCACTTGGAGATCAAATAGAATGCAATGGGCCAGGGTCACTAAAAGATGTCTCGCTTCACAAAATGCATGTGATGTTGTGTCAGGTACAGCCTGTGGGGTCTTACCTGCGGTATTTTTAAGTCTTAAGATTTTTAGACTTATTTTCAATTTATATAGTTTGAAAATGCATGAAATTCCTTTTTCCTTAGACTTTTTTTTTTTTTTACTCCAGTTGCACTTTTTGAATGTTTAAAAAGTGGTGATTCTGTGTAATCCTTCCACCTCTTTTCTTTATACTCTGTGTGTCCTTTTCTTCTATTAATAACAGCATAACAGGAACAGATGTGCCCTGTAACACCTTTGTCCCTTTCATTTCTAGTGTGAACTCCACGAGCCTGCAGCTGTAGCAGTTTTACCAGGGTGCTGGTAAGCTGAAGCCCAGGGAGATGTCACAGCTGTACTACCGGCGGACTGACAGCTCCTCGTTCCGGGACAGCATCCCACTGAGAATTGTGCGGACCGAGTCGGAGCTGTCACCTTTAGAGAAAGCCTACCTCGGAGCTGTGGAAAAGGGGGACTACGCTAGTGTCAAACAGGCTCTGGAGGTGTGTGTGTGCATAAATATATGAAAGGATAGATACTTTGATTGGTAAATGGATGAATAAATACAGCTACTGTATCTTAAAATTATGTATGGATATGAAGTATTTAATCTGATTGGATTAAGTTAGAAGTAATTGGAGGTTTATGGGTAACGTGCAGGTGTGGTGATTCTCTGCTCATTTCCAGAACCATCTGGAGCCTTTATTTGCCCTGACACAAAATATTGCTGCAGCTGTTTGGTACAGTAGTAGCATTGCATCTGGCATGCCCAAAATTATTTTACAAAAAGCAAAGACCTTATCACTTACAGTAGCCATACAGTTAACAGCATGTGGCATGACATTGTCCCATGACTTCCTTTTCTGACTCTGGTTTGTATATATTATGCTAATAGCAGCTAACATAGCCTTGAACTTCAGACTTTTTTACCAACTAGTCTGCTTCCCAAACCAACCTGAGGCAGTTTTTCAGATTACATGCAGTAAGGTCATGTCACAGACACAGTAGTACTCCCTTAGACTTGTAAACAGGCATTGATGTGTACAGTTGGTGGTGTTCCATTTTTACCTGCTGATAATCTGTAAACTCTGAGTTGGTCTTCAGATCTGTAAGGTGTGTAGAGAGAGATTTTTTTTCCAAAAATCTATGTGGGTTCTATGTCAATGTGTATCTTCTCATCTAATCAATGATATTGTCACAGAGTAGCTTTAAAATCAAATCCTGACTTTCAGTGACACCCTCATTTTGTCAGGAGGCAGAGATCTACTTCAGAATCAACATCAACTGCATCGACCCTCTTGGCCGCACAGCTCTGCTGATTGCCATTGAGAATGAGAACCTGGAAATTATTGAACTCCTACTGAGCTTCGGCGTCTATGTTGGCGATGCTCTGCTGCACGCAATCCGCAAGGAAGTGGTGGGAGCTGTGGAGCTGCTGCTAAATCACAAAAAGTCTAGTGGCGGCATGCAGGTGAGGGATGATAGCTGCTGATTAGGCTGTGTGTGTGCATGGGAGGCAATGTCAGCCAATAAAATACTGGTATTCAATGTGCCGCTTATAAAGTGCATGTAGTTGCCTGGAGCTTTTGTAGCATCCAGTGTAATTGACCCAGTATTGTTGGCAACAACAAAAGCTGATGTTTCAAATAGCTGTGTCATAAGTGTTTTCTGTCAGTTGGATAGGGAACAAGTGTTACAGACAGAGATTTAATGAATAATACTGAAAGAAAATATGATGTACTGTATATTTTATCCAAAATTAGAGTGTATTCATATTTGTTCATCTTGATACGATTCATAGTGTGAGAATGCAACAGTGCTGTTCATAAAAGAGCCCTCTTCTTCAAGTCGAGGAGAACTGGCTGTTCAGAGCCTTAATTACCATAATCAAAAGCAAATGTGTAATTAATTTCAGATTGGTATCCTTTTGCACTGATTGCTTTCCACTCAAGAAGCGTTTTCTCTTTTTTTACTTGTTCCTGGCACATATGCATTGTACACACTGGTTCACACATACTGTATATGGTACTTTATTCTTCACAATCTCTTCCCCTCCTCTCCTGTCAGCAGTAACACATAATAAACCACAAAGAACAAATGTCGTCGACTTCACTGATCAACTGTAGGGCAGATGTTTTTGCCCTTCCTGTTAGAAGCTGTGCATTTTGCCTTGGTAAAATGGAATGAAATCATGGAAGAGGGGGGGATTAAAAGAATCCAAAAACTATATTAGGGAACAAACAAGAGCATAAACACAAGAGATAGCTGCATCTTGTTTGCTCATTGGTTATGGGGGGGTGGGATTCAGAGGCCAAACATTTCCAGTCTGACCCCCTCAGCTGTGACATCTGTCAGCGGCTACATTACTTTGTCTTCATAAGATAGTGCTTCTTCCCATCACATGAGTAGGCTGTGAAAATAGATCACTGTACCAAATCTCCCCAAGAGAAGTTCACTGATTATATGAAAAGGCTGTCTGGGAAATACGTATCTTATCTGATGCCAATGTGTTTTCTGAGATTTATTTATAAGAAGATTCATTTTCTGCTTTGCCGAGTGTGTGTTTTCTCTTTCTATTTTGCAGGCTGGCTGAGCGATGTATTTGTAATAATCTTCCAAGTGTTGTGGCTTATTTGTTTTCCACTGAGGAGCGCATTGGATATCAGTTTTAAACAGCTTCATGTATTATCCTTCGGATACAGATATCCATCTTTTGGTGGCATAAATACTGGAGCTCAAAGTATTTCTCAATTAATAGGGTCCTTTGTGTTCTGTTTTTTGCTTTTATGTTTTGCGCTGGCGATAGCCGTGACTGAAGGGATTATGTTTTTGGGTCATCCCTCTGTCTGTACATCCACTTAGCCTATTCTTGTGTACGTGATGTGTTGGGAACACCTTGAGGGGATTTCTTCACATTTGGCAGTGTGACTTGCAAGTGTCCATTTGGATTCGATGATTATTTGATTTGATTTGATTTGATTTATTTATTCTTTCAAGCATGTAAAGACAGTTGATATATCAACACACATAATTTTACACATATCCAACAAATGCTAATCCAATATCAACTTGCTTATACCTAGTACATGCTTGAATTGAGTAGGAAGAAATCAGACTTATCCAGTCCTACCCCATGACATCATCTTACCATCATTGGTTTGCAAGCAGTATCTCTACATAGATAATTCTCTTCTACACCACACAAGTAATATACTAAAAAAATTATAACAGAATGTTAACATTCTTACATAATTACATTCTTAAATA